TTGGTCCCACAGGCTGAACTCAGGGCCTGGGTGCTGTCTCAAGGCTAGCACTCACACACTCGAGCCACAGCTCCATTTCCAGCTTTTTGGTGCTTAATGGTAAACAAAGAGTTTCACAGACTTTCTTGCCTGCCTAAACTGGTTTCCTGAATAGCTAGGAATACAGGTGTGAGCCATCAGCACCAGGTGATTCCAGCACTTAAAAAATAAAAAATTAAATTAAATTAAAAAACGGCTTTGCTTTATGTATAAAGAAATTCGTTAACACTCAGTCTAACAAATTCACGTTTCTACTATTCTCCTTTATTATATATCTTTACTTTTCCTCCCGAGAATAAAGCACTTCTGTATGTAGCTTACCAAAACAATTACACACACCCATAACCCTGGGTTCCTGATCTTTTCAAAATAATGTATCTCCTTTTCTCTTGCAACATTTTTCCCCACAACATCTAGGAACATTGGGAACATTTAAGAATGCTCTGTGATGAAGGACTAGTGTAGATCTACAAATATATAAATAAAATAATGACCCGCACAAATGTTTGCTCCTTGTTTTCAAAACTGTGAGTGATGGCTGAGCTACACCTCAGTAGTAAAAAATTATAAACTTTAAATCTGAGGCGATTCTTACTATTTCTTTTCATAATATTTGGCAGTAAACATCTGGGGAATGGCTCAATGTTAAGCATGCCTACTTAGGAAGCACAGGTCCTGAATTCAAACTCCAGTCTGGCCAAAACATGCAAAACCCCTCAGTACTTTCAGTTACAGCTTTCAGTGAACTAAAATTTCAGAGTAAATAACTTCAAATAGAAGCTAACATTTAAAGAGGAAAAAAAAAACCCTTCAATATAATTTAAATTAACTGACACAAAGAAACCATTGTCTTTAGACCTAATTCTGAACGATACTGAGGGGCTGAGGGTTAAGACATTGGTTGTTTGGATCCTCCATACTAACAGCACCACCACCACTAACAACAGCAAAAGATACTTCAGCCACCACATTCTGATGTGATTCTTTTATATTACAGTAAATTCATAGAAATGGTAATCAAGTTCTTTACCAAAATATTTTAAAGCCAAAGTTTTTCTAAAGATGAAAACTCAGGTTCATTAAAAAAAAAAAAGTATCAGACGATCTCTGGCTATGTTAGCTTTCTGTCTTTCCTTCTTGTCCAACTCCAAGAACCATCATAATCCCAGCTATTTCCTCTTTCTAAACCAACTTTCCACAAAAGTAAAATCTTAGGTGCTCACTACAACTAATTTTGGTCCCTTATTCTAAGTAAATGTCAATGATTTCAGTGGCAGATACTTAGATAGATAGATAGATAGATAGATAGATAGATAGATAGATAGATAGATAGATAGATAGATAGATGCAGTCATCTCTCGTTTTTAGTAAATAGTAGCATAAGGGGGAACATCAGCTACACAAAATTATTAACACATCAACTCTTCTGAGAGGAGACAACTGCAGAAAGCTGCATATGGAGACACAAGACCTGTCTACATCAAAGAAAGGGCATGCTAACTGCAGGAAGTAGAAACATTTTGCACTTTGTTGACATCTATACAGATCTATACCTTAGAAAGGAAGAGAATTCCAAAGCTAAGCTTGTTCTTAGACAAGCATGCCCTTACCTCACCTTGGGGAAACAGCACTAGCACCCTAGCTAATCAGTTACATGCAAAGCTTCCGAGTGATCCACTATTGCAAAAATAACCAGAGATTAAAACAGAGATCAAATTCAATGAATTCATCATATATTTCTCCATCTATGCCTTCTAACCCTTTACTACCCTCACCCAAGTCTGAACAGAGGTATGATATAACACAAGCTGTCTGTTGCATATTCTTTACTCAGGGCTCTACTTCATCCTTTGCATGTACTAACTTTCCTTTTCTATGGATTAAGAACTCTGAAAGAAAAAGGTGTAAGACCTAGATTGCTTTTCTAAGCCAAAGTAGAAATGAATCTAAAGTTTAACAATAACTGTTCACATGCAAAGTACATTAGATTATCTCCCTGGCACTCCTGCCATGCAAATGGCTCAAATGCATAGCAAAGAACCCAAATGCAGGGGCTGGGAAGGTGGCTCAGTGGTAGAGCGCTTGCCTTGCATGCCTGAGGCCCTGGGTTCGATTCCTCACCACCACAAAAGCAAAAAGAAAAAAGCCAGAAGTGGTGCTGTGGCTCAAGTGGTAGAACACTAGCCTTGAGCTGAAGAGCTGAGGGACAGCGTCCAGGCCCAGAGTTCAGGCCCCACAACCGGACTCAAAAAAAAAAAAAAACAAAAAACAAAAAAAACAAATGCTGACACCAGATCAAACTAACCATGAGCACTAAGAGACTTGTTATACTAAATCTGAAATAGTAATTGTGCATCCCAAATTAACTGGGATGGCACTTTCAGCTAATGCTATTAAAAATTCATGAGAGTAATTCCTTTTTTCCCAAGGTAGATTTCATTTTGGAACCTATCAATACCACCAATCCCATCCCTAAAAATCACACAAAGTATTGCCTCAGAGATACTTTCTCTCCTCACCTCCATGAGTCCCCAATTGCACTCCTCCCTCAAGTCTCCTAGGACAACCACAACCCTCTTTCCTACATGATTTTATATTCTATTTAATTTCATATAATGGTTAATTAGTAAGTTATAAAGAAAATACAAAACAGGCACGAGTGGCTCACACCCGTATCACACCCGTAACCCTAGCTACTCAAAGAAAAGCTGAGATCTGAAGATCATGGTTCAAAGTCAGCTGGAGCAGGGAAAGTCCAAAACACTGTTATCTCCCAATAACCACCAGAAAACTGGAAGTAGAGCTGTGGCTCTAAGTGGTAGAGTGATAGCTTTGAGTAGAAAAGCTCAGAGACAGTGCCCAGGCCCTGAGTTTAAGCCCCATGACCAACAATAAGAAAGAAAAAAGAGAGGGACAGGGAGGAGATGAAACAGGCAATAAAGGAAGTGAATTTGATCAGGGCATATTGTATGCATGTACAGGGGAGTGTTTTTGTACAACTATTATATACTAATACTAGTAGCAGCAGCTCTAATAATATAGCTGCTCTAGTAATATAGCTGCTGAAACAGAAAAAGGAAAGAGAACAGACATAAGGGTTTTTTTCACATAAAATTCATCTACAGGTATCACAAATAAAATATATTCTGATCACAAGCAAACACCGCCCCAGTGGCTCATTCCTGTGACTACTTGGAAGTAACTCAGTGTAACTCACTCCTAACTACTTGGGAGGCAAGATTAAGGTTTGAGGCCAGCCAGGAAAAAAAAAAAAAAGAAAGAAAGCTGACAGTACTCAGTGCTGGTAACTCACACCTAAAATCCTAGCTACTCAGGAAGCAAAGATCTGAAGATCCCCATTCAAAACCAGCCCAAGCAGATAAATGTGAGAGACACATCTCCAATTAACCAGCAAAAACATAAAAAGAACTGGAGGCATAGTTCCCATGGTAAGCAAAAAAGCCGAGCGAGAGCATGAGGCTATAAACTTAAACTCCTGGCAAAGTATACTCTTAACTTGCATGTGTATATGTATGGGTGCACACACACACACACACACACACACACACACACACACACACACACACACACAAGTTCAGAAGACTCAGTCTCAGTGGAAAGAATTGATATGGTGGAGCATGTCTGTCATCCCAGCTACAATGAGAAGTTTAAAGCAGGAACCACGACTCTGTCTCAAAAATAATCAGTCAAAAAAAAAAAAAAAAAAGGTTGGCCAACATCAGTGGTACACGCCTGTAATCCTAGCTACACAGGAAGCTGAGATCTGAGGATCGCTGTTCAAAGCCAGCTTGGGCAGGAAATTCTGTGAGATTCTTATCTCTGATAAACCACTAGAAAACCGGAAGTGGCACTGTGACTCAAGTGGTAGAGCAATGGCCTTGAGCTGAAGAACTGAGAGACAGTGCCCAGGCCCAGAGTTCAAGTCCCATGACCAACAAAACAAAAACAAAAAAAGGTTGGAGATATGATGTAGATTCAGAATATCCGCTTAGCAGTATGAAGTCCAAGTTCAAACCCCAGCACCACCCCTGCCCCGAACAAGTCTCATTGCATTGTTTCTGGCTCATTTTGCTCTTCCAAATTCCATCAAGGAGCTGGCAGTTGGGAGCAAAGACTTAACCCAGTCCTACATTCAACCATGGCTAGAATATGTAATTATTTAGCTCAGCTATACAGTTTTTAAACCAATCCAAAGTAAATGCTCACTTTCCAAAATATATAAAATAGAAAAAAATGCTTAAAAGTAGAAACTGAGCCTAAAGTCCTGGAGCCCCTGGAATCCTTTATTAGCAACTCAGTGTGTTAGTGACTGATTAGATAGAGGGGCGTAAAAGGTCTCCAAAGATAATAGCCCTGTAACAGATAGGGTAGTAAGAAGACAAAGAAAGAGAAGTTGAACATTAAAGAAAAAAACATTAATAAGTTGGGTCAAAATGCTGAATCAAAAATCTGTAATACGTTTTTTAAAAAAATCCTCAAAAAGATCCAAACCTATCTAGACTTGCCTGGTCTTAATGAAGAACAGGTGGGCAATAGGACTACCTCTTTATTAGTAAAACCAGGCCAAAAAAAAAAAAAAAAACCAGCAGGAAGCCTTAAATTGAGCACAGCTCCAAAAATTTATTTCCAAAAGCTAAAGCTTTTTAAGACTGAAATTTTAAAAGCCAAAGCCCTCTATTTTCCACAGTTAATATATGTAAATAACAACTCAAAACTTTTCTTTCCAGAAAACCTCTTAGCACAATCTCTTATGGTACATAAACCATCAACAGGAGAACTTGATCCAAATATAAACGGGTCATTTCCTCCCTGTACAATGCAGTAGTATTTTATGAATGCCATTAATTGAAAGCAGGAAAAAAAAATCTAAGCGATGGATTTACATGGGAAATACCAACGTCATATTATAAGCTTTTAATAGACAAAAGCATTTTACTTACGATGTTCCTTGCTGAGAATTAGGGTGGGTTTTTGAAGGCGTATCATATTGTTCTGTGGGGAAGGAGACAATGTCAGAGCAGCATAATGACACACATTTATGAGATCATTAGCTTAAGTTCCCCTTTTATCGCTTCCTTCCTTTTCCCTAAACACTCAGTATATGTTCTGTCAACCAGTGTTGCACACTGCTGTTGATGTAATCTCACTGTTATAACATTTATGGTGCCTTCAAGTACAAGGTCTGTTTAGATATACCAAAACAAATAAACAACAAACAACCTTTTAAAACACTAAACCCATCTTGAAGGTAATGTTTGCTAGCCTCTTAAGTTGCCGGGAAGTGTCTCAGCATGGAGACTTTCTTGTTCTTGATGACAGTTGACGGGCTCATACTGAAGTGCTAGGACACGGCTGCTGCATTAGTCACCCTCTCCTGGCTTGACTCCCACATCCATCAGCAATTGGCCAACGCTCCCTCTTCACAGCCTCCATCTCACCTGTCCTCTCCCTTTCTCAATCCCTCATGACCCAATTCACTCACTCAGCACCTATTTACAGACTGCCTAGCAGAGTCCATGTGCAAGGCATCCAGTCCGGTCCTCAGTACAGTGGTAGTTGACTGAGGGACATGAAACAAACTCATAAATATCTATCATCCTTGGCAGTATGACGTAAGTACACAGATCAATTGCATACCCTGGGAAACCACAGAATGGTCAGTCGGAACAAAGGCAGAAATAGAATACAATGGATTCTGTCACAGGGGACAGGTGGGTTTCTGATGGAAAGCCTGCAAGAGGCCTTCAGGCAGAGGGGAAGAGCAAAGATACAAGTGGGAGGAGTTAAAAGCATTCACGTTTGGAAAGGGTAGCTGTGTGGTTGTGTGGTGGGCAGAACTGGGAAGTGGGAGAGTCAGGCTCAGAGAGCCCGAAACCCAGGATGGGAAGTTTGGGGACACCTTCAATGATTGAAACAGACACAGGCTACAGAGGGCCTATGGAGATGATTACAGTGATGCTACCCTATGTAACACAGAAGAGAGCAAATTTGAAATGTGAGCTGTGGAGCAACACACCAGTTGGCAAGCAGTTACATGTGTCTAGACATAAGGTCAAGGAAACTAGAAATAGAACCAAAGTGGAAAGAAATATGGGTCCTTCTTAGGCGGGTTCATTCATCCCACAACTGTCATATGGAGAGCCCTGCATATTTGCAATTGGTCTCTTTATCCTCAGGGTGGCAGCAGTTCTTATGTGATATTTCCAATTGCCTCCTCCTGTTGAGACAGCTAGAACCAGGGCTATAGTTTAATCAAAGGGTAGACGTCCTTCTTCTAACCATTACCAGGAACTACACATAATCACTGTGACTGGGTTCCAGGTTCCAAAAATTCGCAATATTCTCAGGTAGCCATGTTTTTGCAGCAAACATAGGCAAGAAAGTGAGTACATGCTCAAATCTCTACCTATCCTTCAGGCTCCAAAACTAGTTCTGTGCATGTGAGCACACTCCACTCTTCATTGACTGCTCCATTCAGCCCTCATTCTTGCTTCATCCAACCAACTAGATCTCCCTTTTCAGAACTTAAAAAACCACGTTCTCACAGGCATCAAGTGCCCACAACACTAAGAAATAAAGGGGCAGCACTGTGAAAGCAGCTGGTCATAGGAGTCTCGTCAGTTAACAAGGGAAGTGGCTTTACATACTGCACAGGCCAACAGGGTGGTCCATTCCCGGCTTAGAACGTGCTTATGAGTTTGTCTTAAACTGACAGTTTGTTAGCGTAGAGAGCCGCTTATTCCAAAGCAAGAGCTAGCAATCCCAGGAGTCATCCACTAGAAGATTTGCATGCGTGGCAGCCCCAAAGCAGCCCTACATATCCATACCTGGCACTCCAACTTCACCCCCTACTAGTCATGTGTGTTTGAATTAGTGGCCAAAATGCCAACAAAAGGAGATTCACCACTGGGTGCCAGTGTCTCATGCCTATAATCCTAGCTACTAAGGAGATTGAGATCTGAGAATTGAAGTTCAAAGCCAGCCAGGGCAGAAAAGTCTGTGAGACTATTATCTCCAATTACCAAAAAAAGCCAGAGGTGGAACAGTGGTTCAAGTGATAGAGCTGTAGCTTTGAGCAAAAGCAGCTCAGGATCAGTGCCCAGGCACAGTGTCCAGCAGCGGGGAAGATTGACTTTGAGATTGTAACACTATTCTAAAGGAAGATTTTTCTTTCCTCGATTTTCTAATCTTTTTCCCTCCCCTCACATCCTTAAGATGCAAGCTAAAATCATCAAGAGGAAAAAGAAATGGGAAGGAAAAGTATCATGGCGGGGAAATAAATCTGAAGGTAGAAGCAGTTCTACAGAGATCTGCGAGCTCCCCTTCCCCCTTCTCCCAGCATGCATACAGACACACTGTGCACCCAGCTGTTGGCCTCTTCATCCTTTGAAGATTAACACTTCATTCCTGTAGCAATTACCACATCCTGCTGCAGGTTATTTCCACCTGTGCAAGTATCTTATCCCACTTAAGATATTCTGCGGATCTAATTAATTGCAGCTATCCAAGTGATATTTGTAAGGCTGGCATGCCTTACATAGGTCAAAAAACGAAGAATTTATTGATTTGAGGAATTATTGTTGAACAGAAAAGCTGGACCCAATTATTTCCCTCTGAGTTTTCAAGTATTTTCAATTCTTCAAGCAGGGATCGATAATTACATGGCCAAGAGAGATGGAAGAGCTAGAGAAGCTGTGTGCTGTATTCTTTACAAAAATGTTTGGTTTTAAAATTAGAGAAATCACACAAAAAAGCTTCCAATTTTTTTTTTTTCTTGCCAGTCCTAGAGCTTGAACTCAGGGTCTAGGCACTGCCCCTGAGCTTCTTTTGCTCAAAGCTAACACTCCATCCACTGAGCCACAGCGCCCCTTCCGGCTTTTGTTTGTTTGTTTATGTGATACTGAGGAACCCAGGGCTTCATGTATGCTGGGCAAGCACTCTACCACTAAGCCACGATCCCAGCCCCCAACTTATATTCTTTCTTGGATTATTTTATTTTGTTTTGGGGAATAGTGTCATTTCACTATGTACCCCAGATCTTGAACCTGCCTTCTAGGTGCTAGAATTACAGGAGTGTGCTACTGCCAAGCTATGCCAGCCTATTCTTATATACAGTTCCTGGATGTAATATTTTGGGAGCCAAGGAATAATATGTAAATAATATCTAATTTTGCTTGTTAGCGTTTTGCTAGAACATTTTCATTAACTCTTTGCAACAATCCGAAATAACACCTAAAGACCAAGTTTTTGGCTCTCTTTTCTGTTCTTTCAATATAGGACAGCCTCCTCTCTTCTGGATCAATTACTTCTAAGGTTTTAAGTTAAATCAGTAAAAATTATGCTTTGTTCTTCAATGGAATAAACTATTCTAGACATTTACTTACTCTGATTTTGGATTGCAGAACAGATGTGCTGAGAATCCTAGGGAGAAAAAAATAACAACTCTGGTGATTAAGATATTAAAGTTTTCCTAAGGGCAAAATCACGTTGCTTTTAACATTGAAAAGATAGTCATATGTCAGCTTTCAATACATATTTTTTAAAAGACAGATAGTAGAAGCAATATCCATAGACTCTACAATTATTATTTTACTATATGACACATAACTATTCATCTCTCTATTTAATGATCAATCTTCAATGCATAAACACTGATTTTTACATATAGCTTTATTTTTTTCTGTTCTTTCCTAGTTAATTTTTCAGAGTTCAAAGGTATGTCAGAGTTTAAAGTTTTATTGCAAATAAATTGCCTTTCTATCAAAGTATCATTATAAAATAAGTAAAATCTACCTTGTGGAAAAATGGGTGTATATAGATAGAATGTTGTGAATAATATCACGAAAAAGAACAACTACAGATGTATATAGATACATAGTAGGCTGTACAGAACACACCTAAACTACATCAATAACCTGAAGGTTACTGGAAAATACAAGCCAAAAAAAGAAAATCTGGCTGTATTGTAATGCACTGTTCACAAGCACTGTAGCATATGAGTCAGCATTCATTTGTTTCTCATGAAAACCAGCACTTATGTCACTGATTACAACAAGCTTAAGAAAATTCAGGAAGCTAAGATACATGTGTGTGTGCACAAGCATGCGTTTGTATGTGTATGTATGTGCAAGCTCCACAGGAAAAACCCTCAAATGAGCTGATGTAGCTGGGCTTAGCTCATGCCTGTAATACTACTGCTCAGGAGGCTGAGATCAAAGTCAGTGAGTCTCTTTTATCTCCAATAAATGAAGAAAGCAGCAGCAGAAACAGCCAGAAGTAAAGCTGTGCTCAAAGGTAGAGCTCAAGCCTTAGGAGCAAAAGCAGCTCAGGGATAGCACCCAGGCAGAGTTCAAGCCCCTAGACTAAGGGGAAAAAACATGTTGTACCAGGGATTTCTGACTGCTTTTATAAGCTGTAAATCCTTGTGCAAATCTAAGATGCTGTTACTAGTAAGTTGGAGGATAAGCTTAAAAGCATTATGAAATACTCCAGAAGCTAAAATATGATTTTAACCTTATCTCTAAAGATTCCATCAACATTCTACCAACAGCGCTCACAGCACACCTCACCCTATTCACTAAGGTAAATGCTGTGCCTGTCGTACTTACCTTTGTGGGGAAAGGAAATTTGGATGGCTCTGCTGTACTAGGTGTATGTATTGCTGTCAAAGGAGGAGGCCACGAATGGGTCATTTCCTAGAAAGAGATTTGACAAGGGAGGAAGAAATAAATTACAACTAGAACTTTTTTTTATCTTAGTTAACTTTTTGACCTTAGTGTAAAGCGAATTGATGATTGAAAGTTATTTACTTAAAAAGTTACTTTAAAAAAAATCCTACTGGAGGAGAGATACTTGAACTTATAGGCACAGGCAGGCACTTCCTGAACAGAGTCTCAGGCTCACAACAAATTGGAGAGAGACTTGACAAATGGGACTACCTTAAAATAAAAAGTTTCTGCACAGCTAAAGCTATAGCAACCAAGCTAGAAAGACAACCAACTAACTGGGAAAAAAATATTTACCAGCAATATATCAGACAAGGGGTTAACATCCAGTATATACAGGGAACTCAAGAAACTAATCCCTCCCAAACCTAACAAACCAATTACTAAATGGGCAAGGGAACTAAAGAGAGACTTCTCAGAAGAAGAAGAGATAAAAATGGTAAAGAAACACATGAGGAAATGTTCACCATCCCTGGTTGTGAAGGAAATGCAAGTAAAGACAACATCTTACCCCAGTCAGAATGTCCCACATCCTGAAGTCAGCCAATGATAAATGCTGGAGGGGATGCGGAGAAAGAGGAACCCTATTACACTGCTGGTGGGAATGTACACTTATACAACCACTTTGGAAAGCAGTCTGGAAGGTCCTCAGAAAGCTAAATATTGACCTCCCCTATGACTCAGTCATACCACTTCTAGGCATCTATCCTGAACAACAGGAACCAGTATACAAGGACACATGCACCTCCATGTTTATTGCAGCACTGTTCACAATAGCCAGGATATGGAAACAACCCAGATGTCCCACCACAGATGAATGGGTCCAAAAATTGTGGTATCTATACACAATGGAATATTATGCTGCCATTAGAAAGGTCAAAATAATGGCATTTGCAGGGAAATGGATGGAACTAGAAATCATGTTGAGTGAGGTAAGCCAAGAGCAAAGAGACAAACGGCACATGGTCTCCCTGATAAGTGGATGTTAAATCCAAAATGTAAGGTGATACAACAAAATTAACAAGACATAAGAAACAAAGGACTTCCATTCATCTGGTCAAATCACTAATCAATAACCCCATGCTGCTGATCACATGTATGGTATATATGTGTACACCGGAGGGAAACCAGGAGGATGACACAGAACTAGAGGGAATCAGGGAAAAACATACAACAGCGGGAACCATCAGCTGCACTGGACATTGATCAAAATGAACTACGCAACTCAATGGCAGCGATGGGAGGGAAGGAACAAGTGGGAAAGAGGGAACAGCTGATGCTATGTAAAATAAAAGAAATGTACACATCACCCAATGTGGAAGAAATACTGTATTGCTAAGCTCATAGAACTCATAAATGTTATAGACCATGATAGACAATTTGCCCCAGAAAGAAGAATGTGTTTGTGACTTTAACTAAGCATCATTATCTCACAATACTGTGAAATTTGGGAAATTATGTAACCACTTAATCACAATAAAAAAAAATCTGAAAAAAAATCCTACTGGAATTGGTTATGTTTAAAAATTGAGTCTCTCAAATGTAACAAAACTTGGTAGAGTGCTTGCCTTGCATGCATGAGGCCCTGGGTTCGATTCCTCAGCACCACATAAGCGAAAAGAAAAACGCTGAAAGTGGTGCTGTGGCTCAAGTGGTAGAGCGCTCACCTTGAGCTGAAGAGCTGAGGGACAGCGCCCAGGCCCAGAGTTCAGGCCCCACGACTGTCGTGACCAAAAAACAAAAAAAAAAAAAAAAAAATGAGTTTGAAGAATAAGAGGATGAAAGGGGAATGGACTCGGCCCTACACATGTCATAATGCTTGTAGACAGTAATGGGTGCTGGAGGCCTGCAGTACAGGAAGAGCCTCCATCCATGCTTTCTTCCTCCCTCGGCTTCTTTACTGCACTTCCTGGAATTATTGAAGTTCAAAGAAGAACTTTCCTGTTTTACTTAAGCAAACAAGTAATTCAGGCCACTTGTTCCACTTGGGAGGGTTTTAATAGCTTTGACCCTTCCCTGATACATACTATTAGCACATAAGAACTTTTGAGGGAGGAGGCCTTAACAATTACCTTCTTTTTCCATGAAGTTTGATTTTTTTTTTTTACTCACTGTTTCCTTGGTTGAAGGGCAAGATTCTAAAAATTACAAATTAAGGGTATGTCTAATTGCAAATACATATAAGCATACACACACACACATCTGAAAAGGGCTATCACAGCACGAAGATTCACTTTTTCAGATGGAGAAACTCCCAACATTTTTGCAGATGAGAAAATGGAGGCTCAAAACAAGGAAGCAGGAGGCTGAGCGGACGGCAGGTTATAGACACCTCTGTCTTTTCAGTGTTGCAAAAGCAGTGCCTTGTCACATGCATCACACCTGGCTGGCAAACAGTCGACTAGCAAGCCAGGGTGCTCAGACTGAGTATAATATGCTATTCCACTTGTGTATCACAACCTTGATCCTACCCTTCATTCTTTCCAAAGTGCTGGTTATTTTCTCTGCTTCTACAGAAATGCCCAGTGATCTTTGCATCCCCTGGAGACAGTATGTGAGCAAAGACTTCCACCTCCAGCCTTCATACTTCTTCTCCTGCCTTTCCCCCTGCCACGTGGTGGGTGCCTGCAACCCCAGGATAAAACCAAAGGGACTGCATACAGCAATGAGCCTTGTAACTGGTGCTGGCTTTGAGGTAGTTTACTGAATGACTTTCTGCAATCTGCGGCAGCAGTTCTATACTAAACCATACCACAGTCAGAGGTCCTAATTGCAATCCTAACGGAATCAGCTGAGACAGCCTAAATTTTGGGTCTCAGTTCTCAAAGTACAGAAATGGCAGCTCCGGTAAAGTGCTTAGATACCTGGCACTAAATATATGGGAAAGTTACAATGTTTTAAGGGAATATTTGGGTCTTTAAGATAGGGTCTTACATGGAGCTGGGAAGGTGGCTCAGTGGTAGAGTGCTTGCCTTGCATGCATGAAGCCCTGGGTTCGATTCCTCAGCATCACATAGCAGAAAAAGCTGGAAGTAGCATTGTGGCTCAAGTGGTAGAGCGCTAGCCTTGAGCTGAAGAGCTCAGGGACAGCGCCCAGACCCAGAGTTCAGGCCCAAACCGACAAAAAAAAAAAAAAAAAAAAAAAGATAGGGTCTTGCAGTATAGCCTAGCCTGTTCTTAAACTCATGATCCTTCTGTCTCAGCTTCTCCAATAGTGGCATTCTAGGCATGTGCTGGAAACATTACAACTTTTGATTCAAAGTGTAGTTTCAAAAGAATTTCTATATTATGCCAAAGAAAGCTCCCTGGTATTCTATTTATTTGACAATACTTTAAGGTATAGGACCAGTAAACTGTTAATTTTTTTTAAAGAGCTGACATATATAATTGGGTTTGAAAACAGCATCCTTATGTTTTCCCCAAGAATCCTAATGGGATATGTGGCTTTTAGAAACCAATTAGTTCCAAACACCATCCATCCTTACTCTCAATGCCTAAAGCTGTCCCAACAATTAAATTGGGCACTTGAAAAGTGCCTAAATTCTTTCAACCCTAAGTGGTTTCCTGGTCGTCGGAAAGAATTTATGTACTCCGCTAAATGCTTTCCTTCCTAGAAGGATTTGTGTATTCAGAGAATTAGGGCTATTACTACAGAGAGGAGGTTACTCAGGTAGTGAATGACTGATCACATGTGCAAAGCCAAATCATGTGTCACCGGCACCAGTCCCCAACCCCTTCTAGGTCCCATAGCTGCTGCGCACCCCTGCTCATTTCCCTGTAGATGTGGTCTAGTTCTAGCTGTTCCTCTGAACATGCTCTTTGCCCACCATCCATTCCCTGTCCCCTCCTCTGTTCACAGCCATATCATCATCACAACATTGTAATTTTGCCTTTCCTGTCACAATCTCCATGAGTTCTTGCTGCCTCAATTCTTCAGACAGCCCAGACCTAGAAAAGGTATCTGAAGGTTTAATGGATATTTGCTGACTGAACAAATAATAATGCTACCCCCCTCACTATAAAGGCATTGTTGGAATGTTGCACTGAAGTAGTGTCTACTTACATTGCCTTCATTGCCCGGCAGCCTGCTGAGAAGACTCCAGCTGTTTCCATATGCTTTGCTGAAGGTAAGTTGTCCACAGCCCCTCCCCTCCCCCCTCCCCCCAGTTCACAGCTATTTCCTGGTTGCTAGTAAAGTCTGTCTGCCATCTGCTTACCTGGTCAGCCTGCAGGAGTAACAAGCCAGCACTTCTCCATTAGAACATTTCCACCCTAAATACTACCCACAGAGAAACAAACAACATGGACTATGACTGGTTTTTCACTGTTACTGCTATCGCCCATCTGTGTTTGGACTCCTAGTGACCTTTGTGAATTGGTGGTACAAGATAAGATCAAGAACGTTTAGACGGACGACACTGTCTGGAACATAGGACTTGTTAAAAACAGAAGGGGAAAGATCTCACTTTTTCATCTACAAGAAGGCGCAGGCCTTTTCAGTCCTGGGCATGCTGTTTGCTGGGCAGTTCCTGATTTCCACATTGACAATATGCCCTCTTTGCTTTCATTAACTACTCTCATGCATCCCAATGGGCAAGAACTCATTAAAGTGATGCCTGATGAGAGGTAACGGGTTGGGGAACTAAGCAAAAACACTTATCTGATGCTATAATGCATGCCTCCTACAGAGGGCATGTCTTATATTAGCATACATCAAAACCTAAGTGATATATTTAAACACGCAGATGACAACAAATCTATATTGTTGAAGTTGCTTTTGAAATAGAAACAAACATTACACAAATTCAGAGAATAATGCTAAGACCATAATTTAAAATTTAGTCATTGATTATTTTTATGACTGTCTAAAGAATTTCAGAAGTAGAATGAAAAAGATATAAAAATTAGGGGGTTGGGAAGGTGGCTGAGTGGTAGAGTGCTTGCCTTGTACGTATGAGGCCCTGGGTTCGATTCCTCAGCACCACATAAACAGAAAAGGCTGGAGGTGATGCTGTGGCTCAAGTGGTAGATCACTAGCCTTGAGCTGAAGAACTGAGGAACAGCGCCCAGGCTCAGAGTTCAGGACACACAACCAATAAAAAAACAATTAGGGCTGGGAAGATGGCTCAGTGGTAGAGCGCTTGCCTTGCATGGCCCTGGGTTCGATTCCTCAGCACCACATAAGCAAAAAGAAAAAAAGCCAGAAGTGGTGCTGTGGCTCAAGTGGTAGCGCGCTAGCCTTGAGCTGAAGAGCTGAGGGACAGCACCCAGGCCCAGAGTTCAGGCCCCAGGACTGGACCCCCCCACCAAAAAAAAAATTAAAAAGTTAATTAAAAACTGTAACAGAGATGTTACAGAGATGTTGGTTTATCCCTGACAATCTCTGTGTTTGATTCTGGTACCCATCTTGTATATGCATTTATCTGATTGGGGGAAAGGAAAGGAAATAACAAAATGCTGAAAGTACAAAAGATGACCCATTGCAACAATGATACTTACAGGACACTATGTTGGAAATGAACTTTAGGGAAGGGATAGTGGGAGAACAATGGAGTGGGGGTAACAATGTTCAATGAGAAATGTACCTTACTCATGTAAATGTAACCCCTCTGTACAGCATCTTTACAATAACATTTTTAAAAAAATTCCCAAAGCAACTTGAAAAAATATTTGACAAGTACAAAGCTAAGCAGAATAGTAACCAGTGCATTGATGGTTACAGGCACCATCATCACATAATACTGTATAATGACAGAACTAATGGGGAAAAGTTGGGTAAATGTTTATTTTGAAGGGAAAAAATTATCAGTAGAGGCACATGTCATTTCTCTATCTTCTACTACTTAAAAAAAATTATCAAACTTCACTGTGAGCTGGTGGCTCACGCCTGTAATTCTAGCTACTCAGGATATTGAGATCTGAGGATGGTATTCAAAGCCAGCCTGGGCTTTGAACCACCAGAAAATGAACCACCAGAAAATCAGAAGTGGTGCTGTGGCTCAAGTGGCAGAGCACTTGTTTTGAGTTGAAGAGCTGAGGGGCAGCACCCAGTCCCAGAATTCAAGCCCTGTAGGGGGAAAACAATGGAGGGGGTAACAATGTTCAAGAGGAAGTGTACTCATTACCTCACTCATGTAACTGTAACCCTCTGTATAGTATCTTTACAATAAAAAAAAATGTTTATCAAAATTTAAAAAAAAGACATAAAGGATGAGAATTACACAAAGCCTTCAATTATTTCAATTAAAGTATCTCAGCAATAAAATCAAACTCCAGATTTCCTACAAATTAAATCCAAGATAGGCAACAGTTATACAAAAAGAAAACACATCATCTCAAGGGGAGAATTTCTTTATCTCGGAACTGAAATCTAGAAAATTCTACAAGTCATCCTGGTTAGGAAGAAAATCCCTGAATAAGCCAGTAATATATTCAATGATATATTTATAGAAGTATAAAAACTCATGATCAGGAAGGAAGAGAGTCAGAAGGGGAAAATATAGGAGAAAATGAGGGAGAGGGTAACACTGTTTAAAAAGGAATGTATTTATTACCTTAGATAACTGTGACCCCTTTGTATATCACCTTTACAATAAAATTTAAATTAAAACAAACCTCATGAACAGACTCAGTAATAACAAAAACTAGCCCTTAATAGTGCAGCACCTACTATACATGTTCTATGTGTGTGTTCTTTTGGTGTGCTCATGAGCCCTTTTGTGCAAATGTAAACTTTGTCTTGTCTAGTTAAGGAGAAACTTTTTTTTTCTTTTTTCTTTTTTGGTCGGTGCTGGGGCTTGAACTCTGGGCCTGGGCGCTGTCCCTCAGCTCTTCAGCTCAAGGCAAGCGCTCTACCACTTGAGCTACAGCGCCACTTCCAGGAGAAACTTTTTTAAACAACAACCAAAAAAATAAAAAAAGTCCTTTGCCAGATGTCAGTGGCTCACGCCTGTAAGCCCAGCTACACAGGAAGCTGAGATCTGAGGATCAAGGTTCAAAGCCAGGCTGGGCAGGAAAGACCAGGAGATTCTTATCTCTAATTATCAACAGAAAACTGGAAGTGGAGCTCTGGCTCAAAGTAGTAAAGTGCTAGCCTTGACCACAAAAGCTCAGAAACACCACCCAAACCCGGAGTCCAAGCCCCAAGAATGAACAACAAAACACATACACACACACACACACACACACACACACACACACAAAACACCACAAAAACAAAAAATCCAAAAAACAAAACAAAAAAGAGCCCTTTAATAAAGATAAGTTCAAAATACCTATTTCCTTCCCACTTTTTTCCCCCCAAATAACCAATGAACATTGTATTTTTAAATTTTATTTATTTTATTTGTTGGTCCAGGGGCTAGAAATCAGAACCTGGGCACTGTCCTTGAGCTTTTCTGCTCAAGGCTCTCTATCATTTTGAATCATAGCTCCACTTCTGGTCTTCTGGTGATTAATTGGAGATAAGAGTCTCACTGATTTTCCTTCCTGAGCTGATCTGAACCTCTGTCATCAGATCTCAGCCTGCTGATGACCATGCAAGTAGCAGAATATTGTTTATTAGGTAATATTCCAATTACCATCATGGGGCAGGAACTATTAACTGATTAACAGGATTGAGCTGAAGTTCTCTGCCTCAACCTCAGATTTATATGTTCAAATTAGTCCAGTACAAACTTAGGGTATTACAAGAAAATAGAGAATAGGGCACATCCCAAGGGGTAGATGACAAAAAAAAAAAATCAGGAAGCACTTAAGCAGTTTCAGTAATGGCTCTAACAATTTCCTCACTAAGATTAGTACATACAGGGACTTCTGTCTTTTGACAGGAATTAATGCAAATAATCAAACACTCAATCCCATAACCATGCAACCAGGGTTTCTACTGTTACCATTCAAACTTCAAACATACTACCAAATCTCCCACAACTAGTCAGTCCCCACAGTGCTCTAGAGTTCCCACAAAGGACAACCAGAAAAACTTGAGGCATATCATGAAACTCTGGTCCAAATGCCTTACAGAGTTCGTTAACTTCATTTTAATTAAGAAAATTTGGCCAGGTGCTAGTGTCTCTGGCCTGTAATTCTAGCTACTTGAAAGGATGAGATCTGGGGATCAAGGTTTGATGTGAGCTGAGGCAGGAAAGCCCATGAGCTTATCCCCAATTAATTACCAAAAGGCAAGAACTAGAACTATGCCTCAAGTGGTAGGGTGGAGAGGAGAGAGAGGAGAGGGAGGGAGGGAGGGAGGGAGGGAAGGAGGG